ATCTTGGAGATTTCTTTTAGAAATTTCCAATTTATGATGTGTTAGGGTAAACAGTTGGATCACATTTCTGAAGTACGTGTTCCATCAGGTAAAATCATTGTGATTACAAGCACTGCAACGGCGAATAAGTTATGTGCTAAAAGGTTGGAAATGTTGAACAAGTATGCCAGTGCTTAACTGCACAGAGATACAAACAGGGATTAAGTTTGTATTGCTACTGAATAAACTACAAGGAACGAGAGGGACAGATACTGAAATAGCGCAACAGAAAGGGAATATTATGTCATTCTGAGAAATAGTAGCATTAATACAGCTCGAGAAACTATTTTATTGATGGCTCAGCCATAATAAACTATTCCAGAATTCAAAGGAGGATGGCAGATTATAAAGAAGTTATTTGAGTTAAAAGTTGCTTCTTTTGTTTTGTTATTTTATTTCCTCGAATTCTTCTTATTTTCTGTGGCAGCGAATGAAAGCCCAGGTTGTGGTTTTTAATGTTCAGCCTCCATTGTTTAGAAATTTACTGCTCTAAAAGTGTGAGGATGGTTTGAAGACCTTTACATACGTTTGACAGCGGAAGATAATAAATGTAAACAAATCTTTAATATTTCCTCTAATTCGGTTTGTTCCATGCAAATGTCGGGACCAAAAAACAAATCAATAAACATATGAAAGAAAATAATATACATAACTTAGTTTATATATTAAAAACAACTGTTAAACAATTATGACCTCATGTATTAGTTGGTTGTTTTGAAATATTCCTACTAGAGTTAAAAAATGCTATGAGGGACTTTGAGCTTAAACATATTGTGTCAATCAAGAGCATATGTGATATATCTAAAGCATGAGGTAAAAATTTTCTTCATAAATTATTGCATCAATAAATAAATAATTTGCTTGAAAAAATTATAAAAATATTTGTTCTTTTATTGGGTTCTCTACAGACCTTTTGAGGCTGATGTAAATGGCTGATATGACAGCATTTTGATCTTTCTATCCTAACTTGGATTACAAAAAGTAACATGAAGATTTTTTTTGTTTTAATTTCTCAGGCAGACCTCAGCCAAATTGAGTCCGTGAAACTTCATTCATTAAAATTTTAAGTAACCATGAATTTGTTGGCTTCGGAACCTGGGGTGTAACTTTATCCTTTCAATTAAAGGACATAATTCACCCCCAGACCCTTGGCTTTACTTTTTCATATAATATATAATTTGGGTACACTTAATGGTCAGATTTTGTATTATTACAGGTGGAAAAACACCAGCCATCTCAAGGGGGTTGTGCTTGCAAATGCGTGTAATTTAATTTTTTTGAACCAATTTAATCAATGATTGTTTCATGTGTGTAAATTTACACTCTTGACAACTGTCTTAGATTTGAGGGTGACTGGGAGGAAGATCACTTCCTCTTTTAAAATGTCATTTAAATCTTGGGGAACAGTTGGAGATTAGGGTACTAATCCTTGTGATAAATTGTACTGTTTAACTTTGCTGAGATGGTGTTGTCTCAGATTTTATCAGCTAGATACCAGACTCAGCAGTTTTAGGTCCATTAACCCTTTAAAGAAGCAGTGTGACTACTTGGATACAAATTTAAAAATTTATTTGACCTAATATTTTCAGTTAGTCATAGTCAAAGAATGTTTCATTCCAATTCTTATTATTTTTTCTGAATAAAACTGCTTCTCACTGTGTCGTGAATAATTCCATAAAAGTCAGCAAGTTAATTTATGACTGAACAAAGAAAATAAAAGCCTATATTTAATATAGAAATACCTTTTATAGGGGAAATTGGTGGTGGACAGTATTAAATGACTCCAGTGTGGAAATATGCAGGTGGTCATTAGGAGCTGACTGTAAGATTTACTGAAGATTTTCATATTAAATTTCCCTACATTCAGGGCCACATATAAATCTAATTCTGTTAAAAAATTAAACTGATGACAATGTGAATAAATTTATGCATATGAGCACCATTGTCTTCTCCCTCCTTTAGGGAATATATTGTTGCCTCATTGTGAAACTGTATTTTTACTACTCTTCACCTGACTTGTTTATTGAGAAAGAATTACTGCTTTTCTATTCATTGGTGTATGTATAAGACACGCTTCTGAAGCACAGACCTGCCTAAGTATGCTAAGTGAAAATAAGGAGCTCTCAGGAAAAGGTTCTAAAAGCACATTACACACACACACACACACACACACACACATATGATATATGTCAGATATATGCACACACACACACACACACATATATATATATATATATATATATATATATATATATTAGCTTTTTTACTTCTTAAATAACATGTCTGGAAAACACTTATCTTTTCTGACTGAAGATACACGAATCCGTGAAAAATATTTGGGGGAAATCACTGTAACTTCAGCTATCAGATTCCTGAATGTACTTCTCTAAAATTCTAATTTTAATCATTTTGTAGTTCAGAGAGGTGTGTTTTTCCTTTTAGCACAAAATTAGTTTAAGTTGACTTTCACTAGAGGAAAAACATACCACTTAAAGTCACCCAACTGAAGAAAATGAAGTTCAAACGCCCAAGAAATGTTTACTTAGTTTTTAACACCTCCTATACTTTGAATCCTGTCTTGGTAATGTTTTATGCATTGTTGATCTTTAGAAGTTAAAGGGAAAGATAGCTTGTTCATTTCATGAACTTTATGCTGAGGCAATTTCTCTTAACAAGATGTGTGCTAAGAAAAAGAATGCCATGCCTCATTCAGAGTTCCTTATCTGCTTCGAAAACCCCAAAGACCAGCGTGTCTTAACCTGGCAGTGGCTGAATGTCCCCATTTTATCTGTTTTGTGGTACCCCCTTAAAGCACCCATTGAGTTTCTGGCTTCTCAGCTCAGAAAACCATAGCAACCTCAGTCCGCACTTCTCCAACTCAGGATAGAGTTCAAGTTGTTCTCCTGAAGCCCTCCTACCATCCAAAGCCTGGGAAATCCTGACCAAGGCCGAGGTATCCTAGGACTTCCAGCCACAGATAAAGGGCGGGGGAGGGGGCGCACACGCACACACAAACCCTGCGTCCTTTAATTGAGAGCTAGAGGGAAAGGTAAAAAGCACTTTGAGAGTTCTTGGCATTCTCCAGGACAGCATCTCCAGGGTCTGGGCAGCATCGCCTCGGCTGCCACGCACCGGCCCCCGCGCCCCGCAAGGTAGGTCCCGGCCTCCAGGGCCCCGGCCGGGGCAGCCCGGCCTCCCTCCCCGCGCAGCGCGTCCGGTGGGGGAGGGGCGGGGCGGGCCGCGGCGCGCGCGGTCCCCAGTTGTCGCGGGCTGGCGCGGCCGGCCGGT